ATACTTCCCATCTCTTCTTGGTAAAAGAAGAGGAACTCGCCTTTCTCTAACCAAAGGTCTGTGGTTTTCATACATTCCTCCAATTCAAAAAATGTGAAATTGATTTGTTTCTGCCATCTCTCTCATAAACTCATACCAGTGTTCACTCCTGCTCCCAGCCCGAATTAATGAAGAAATTTTTTGAAGGCAGGGCCCTATCTCATTCTTCTCTGCAGGTCCAGCATTTAGCACAGTGCCTGAGACATGATAGGTACAAAATACACATTTATTGAATGAGTGAATGAATTAGTGAGGGAGTGAATATATAAATTGAGAAACTAGGATAGGTCGTATATTGAAAAATTCTAACTGATTATAAATGATTTGCTCTTTTAAACTGCTTTAATGATAATATAGCTTGGATTTTCAAAGTCAATAATTATCTTTGTCACTAATATTTAGAATGTTAAGTTCCTTTGAAAATACAAATATAATTACAAATAATGTTTGAAAATAGCATTAGTACAGTAATATATTTTTTCCTTCAGAATAAATTCATTAAATAAATAGAAATAGAATAGCCATATATTTTTAAAAATCACAAGGATATTATTGAAACAGCCATTGGCTCTACAAATATGATTCAAAATTTGATGCCAATTCTAAAAGGCAAATATAAATGCTAATGAAAATAACCAAGACACTGATCACTTGGCATAAGTGACTTTGCTATGAAAAGATGCAAGTCCATCCAAATGGAAAAAGAATTTTCTGCGATAGGTGGGCTTATATCTCTGCCAAAGGAACTTTATTAAAATACATATAGGCTTCCTATAATTGAGGAAATCACTTATCATTGATAATAATTAATAATCAATTTTGTGCTAAGTGAAAGTTCTCAGAGAAGGCCATGTGAGGGGTTGAGTCATTGCACACCTGCAAGGTGCCGCGCCCCAGTGAAGCCGGAAGCAACATCCGGAAGGCTAACTGAGACTCCGCTTCTGGAAACTTGTGTGCTGCAACTTTGCATTGTTTGAACCCCTGTATAGTGGGGCTACCAGCCAGCCAATCATGTTAAAGGTCAATGCATGATCCACGCATGATCAGCCAATGCATAGCGCATGCACCATAGGGTAAAAGGCACGCTGCAACCCCGGTCGGGTCCTTGCCTGCAAGAGTGGCCACTGCGTTGGTGCTCTGGGGCTTGGACCCTGGCTAGCCAGAAATAAACCTCCTCTTGTGTGATTGCATCCTCGATGTCTCTCTTTGTCCTGGTGTGGCTGTGGAAGGTGGGTCCCTAACAGCCAAAGGTTAAGGTATTCTATGGATTTTCGTTTCAATGATAAGTTTGTGTAAATCATACAGTTTTCAGATCTGGAGAGCTGACTTTGCCTGGCGTGTACAATCAAGTAGAATATGTCTCTTGCAAAGACACCTAATAAAGATGGAAGTATTTAACCAAGCAATGTATATTATGAGCAAGTGTCAAAACTAAGGGGATGTTTTCATCAGTGAACAAATCACGGCCTATATAAAAGGTTAATGAGAATAGTATAATTAAATTAATTGTTACTTTAATTTGGAGAAATAAGATTAAACCTGACAAAAAAATCACACGAATCGCCAATGCTAAGTCAGAGAGAGAGAAACAAAAAGAGCTTCATGGAACCTGCTGATTCCCTTTGCCGGACTGTACTGATAAGGCTCTGGTTTATGGCTAGACCAGGCGTGGCCTGTGGAGAGACAAGGCTGTGTCTTGTTGCTTTGGGATGGGCAACTACCTACTGATGCAATGGAAGAAATCGTGGACTGTGGAGTGAGGACAGCCTACTAGCAAACCACAAAATCACTGTCTTGGCTGCTATGTGTTGTGTTATAAGCTTTAACAATGTTAAGGCCTGGACGCAGTGGCTCATGCCTGTAATCCTAGCAACTCTCTGATTCCTTAAGCACTCTCTGTAATCCTAGCTCTCTGGGAGGCCGAGGTGGGCGGATTGCTCAAGGTCAGGAGTTCGAAACCAGCCTGAGCAAGAGCGAGACCCCGTCTCTACTAATAAATGAAATAAATTAATTGGCCAACTAATATTAGAGGAAAAATTAGCCGGGATGGGTGGCACATCCTGTAGTCCCAGCTACTCGGGGAGGCTGAGGCAGGAGGATTGCTTGAGCCCAGGAGTTGGGGGTTGCTGTGAGCTAGGCTGATGCCACGGCACTCACTGTACCTTGGGCAACAAGCGAGACTCTGTCTCAAAAAAAAAAAAAAGAAGAAAAAAGATAATGTTAAGGTTCCGCATGGGCAAATTAACTTTTAACTACTTTAATAATTGCAATAATGCAACATTAGAATAACTGCAACACATTCAAAAGTAAATGTTATAGATGGAACTCAATTGAGACAAAACCAAATGACCAAAGACAAAATCGCCTCAGATTCTGGGAAACAGGATTGGCAATGAATCATATGCTCAGCAATGTCGAGATTGGCCATTTTGCTCTTTGTGTTATTGATATCAATTGCCATTTTTTTTTTTCGAGACAGAGTCTCACTTGTTGGCCAGGCTAGACGATCCATTGGCGTCAGCCTAGCTCCAGCAACCTCCAACTCCTGGGCTCAAGCAATCCTCCTGCCTCAGCTCCTGAGTAGCTGGGACTACAGGCATGTGCCACCATGCCCAGCCAATTTTTCTAAAAAAAAAAAAAAAAAAAAGATTCAGGATGTGGAGAAGCTACCCATTCACAGAACAAACGACCAGTCATCACAGGGATTCTCAGTGTGTAACACAACTGGAGAGACCCAGGTGACAGCACAGGTGCAGGATGCAAGGCCCCCTGGGAAGAGATCATGGTCCTTAGATAAGGGAACGATGGCCAGAATGCATACATTCTGCATGTGTGCCCGGGAAATGCAGGGACGTATCACTCTGCTCTGGTGAGAGTTGCTCCAATACTCAAACAAACTTCCAATAGAAGTATAAAGGTCCTACCTTCCCTTTCATCACCTCCTTGGCCACTGAAGCCATCCACATGCACAGGCCAGGCCCACATAAATGCAGGGAGGCAGAATCCCTGCATTTGTGGAGTTCACAGTCTTTCAGGGAAGACAGATATATAAACAAATACTTTTAACACTGTGAGTTAAGTGCTTTAATTTAAAGCAGTATGGAAACCCAGAGGAGAGAATCTAATCTTCTAGAAGGGTCAGAGAAGACATCCCAGAAGACACTGACCCTTTAAAAAGGCCAGTTAGCCAGCCTTCCATTCATTCATTCATTCATTGCACTGAGTATCTCTGGCTATTGTAGGTGCTGTGGATACGACACTGAACAAGACAGACAGGTCTTGACTCTCGTGAAATGTCTATTCTGGTGGGGTGGACGACATTTCCAAGAGAAACCCAAAATGATTCCTTAAGACCATTCATATCCACTTTCTGGCCTCACTTTCTCCCCTGCTTCGTATTTTTCTACTGAGACCAGAGCGCCATGACTGCTTAACCTGGAGCTTTCCACTCCTTTTTGCAAGCATAGCACTCATCAGGATACTAAAATGCCAGTTTACTGTGTACTATCACAACAGAGTAACTCCAGAAAGGCATGATCAGATAGAATCAAGTTTCCAAAAATGTGGAACTGAGAATGAACTTCAAGCAGAAATAAAAGTGAGAATGCAGGCGCCCCGCCTGGCACGGGGCATCCTTACCTTACTTTACCAGTGGGGGTCTTTTCTCCAGCGCAGCAACGAGTTCTCTTTTCCAGGAAAACTGTGTGGAAGAACAGCGGGAGTCTCTCTGTGAGTCCGAGGAAGAACTTCCAGTACCCACCATCTAGCAGTGGGGAACCGAGGGGCATGCCCCACTTCACCTGCCAAGGCCCCTGAGCCTTCAGACCTGAGGGTCCCTTCTGAGGAGCCTGCTGCCAGTGTGGCACTGTGAGTCCTTGCGGAGAGCCCCAGGAAGGCTGAGAAAGACGGGGACTTTCTGCGGTGGCTACTTCGTGAAGGAATGCCCAGCACCTTCTGCCCAAGAGGAAGTGGAGGCAGACAGAGCCAGCACCCCCACTTCTGCATACCGGGTCCTTCTGCAGAGAGGCACGCACTGTCTGTGCACCTTCTGGGGTCTGGCCCCACCTCATGGTATGTAAAGATGACGAGGACCATTTTCTCCAGAGAGAGATGAAAAATCGTCCCCACCCTAATACAAAGGGAAAATTCAAGCCACTGGAGCTGGTGGTTTTGAGCCACGTTAGCCTCCGGGGACCTCAGATTATGCCTGTAGAAGTGACTACAATTGCATAACAGAGGCAAGAGAAAGGCAGTTGGAAGCTTCTGCAAGGCACATTTGGTACCATTCTGAAAATTCAAAATTTCCTGTTTGCCAACACGTCTGCTTTAAATTCCTCAGGCTGCTAATTACATTGCAAGTGGTATACACCAGCTTCTCCTCATATTTATAGCTTTCGTTTCCCTTAGAAGTTATTCAAGTAATATATGTTGGTTGTCAAAAATGTAAAATACAGATACGCATAAAAAAGAAAATAAAAGTTCCCAATAATACCACCCCTTGAAGACGACGACTGTTGGCACTTTGGTGTTTTTCTTTCCAGTCTTTCTTCTGTGCTGAGGTGGATGTGAGGGGGTGCTTCTCAACATCCATTCTACCCTACACCTCTGGGGAACATCCAGGCAGTTTTGCTGGGATTTGCTCCATTCTCAGCTCCAGCACGGGTTCTGATTTGGCGAAATTAAATTATGATTATATCCTGCTCTTCACACAGTGTTTGTTTTAGGAACCAGCACCTAACCCAGACCTAAGCCAATCACTGCCTGGCATCGCCCTGGCCCCAGGGAAGGCATATTATCAAGATGGTCCAATCTCAATGGCTGGGGGAGAGACAGGCACTCCTCGGGGTTTGGAGGAGGTAGCTCTGGATGCTGTCGGCAGCCACCTCGCCACCACTTGAGGAACCAGCTTTAGGATAAAGCAGATGCTTCAAAAGGCAAAAAAGAGATATATAAAAAAAATTAGGCCCTCAAAGAAATTTCTGAGCTGCTAAATTAAGCTAACGCCAAAACCTGCCTTACTTCTAGAGTTTCCAGTTATGTGAACAAATGAATTTGCTTGTCGAAGCCAATTAAATTGAGTTTTCTATTCCTTGTCACTAAATGCATCCTAAATGACTCACGTAGGTATTTTTATAAAAACGCATGGCCCCATTTTACAAACACACATGCACACCAGCACAAGAGAAGATAAAGAAAATTACATATCAAACTGTTGACAATAATTAATTCAGGAATTGGGATTGTAGGAATTTAAGGGGAAATTATAAACATTTTTCTTTTCTTTTCTTTTTTTTTTTTTGAGTCAGAGTCTCACTTTGTTGCCCGGGCTAGAGTACCGTGGCATCAGCCTAGCTCACAGCAACCTCAAACTCCTGGGCTCAAGCAAATCTTCTGCCTCAGCCTCCCGAGTAGCTGGGACTACAGGCATGCACCACCATGCCTGGCTAATTTTTTCTATATATTTTTAGTTGGTCAATTAATTTCTTTCTATTTTTTATTAGAGACAGGGTCTCACTCTTGCTCAGGCTAGTTTCAAACTCCTGACCTTGAGCGATCCTCCCGCCTCGGCCTCCCAGAGTGCTAGGATTACAGGCGTGAGCTACCTCGCCTGGCCTAAACTTTTTCTTTGTAACCTCCTGGATAGAGTTGGAACCCATTGTATTAAGTGAAATATCCCAAGAATGGAAAAATAAGCACCACATGTACTCACCAGCAAATTGGTATTAACTGATCAACACATAAGTGGACATATAGGAATAACATCTATTGAGTGTCTGGCAGGTGGAGGGGGAGGGGATGGGTATATACATACATAATGAGTGTGATGCGCACCAACTGGGGGATGGACACGCCTGAAGCTTTGACTTCAAAGCGGGGGCAAGGGAAATATACGTACCCTTAACATTTGTACCCCCATAAGATGCTGGGGAAAAAAATAAAAAGAAAAAAAAAACATTGATTTGTTTAAAATTTTTTAACAGAGTTGTTTTGTGGTTTTTTTTTAAATCTGGATAGCCCTGACTGCATAGCACAAATTACCCTAGATCAGGCGTCCTCAAACTACGGCCCACAGGTCACATGAGGGTGTTTTTGCCCATTTGTTTTTTCACTTCAAAATAAGATAGGTGCAGCGTGCATAGGAATTTGTTCATAGTTTTTTTTAAACTATAGTCCAGCCCTCCAACGGTCTGAGGGACAGTGAACTGGCCCCCTTGTTTAAAAAGTTTAAACTAGATGGTTAAATACTTTTTTTAAATGGCCCCTTTTACTTAACATCACAGCCCTAGTCTCTATAGATAGAAGAAAAATGTAACTGAGGAAATGGTGCAAAAATTACGGCAGGTGGAATATTTTCAAATTCTAACAGGACTGGCTGAGATTTGAACTATGTCATTAATAATAAATGTGTTTTAAAACTACTATGAACCAGTATTCAATGGCATCCATGTATTTCTTTTCAGATGTGCATTTTTATTTCTTTTTTAAAAGGTTACTATAGTTATTACAAGAATGTATTCTGGATCATGAGATATAACATATAAAATGTATCTCAGTACAGTGTTTTTCCCATTAAAGGAAAAAATCTCTAAAACAATTTATATATATATGAACAAAAAGTTCTTATATTTAAAAGGTCCTTGCAAATTTTAAATATTCATAATATATTCAATTAGCAGTGGCAAAAAAATAATAAAAAAATTTTTAAGTATTCATTCACGTATGCCTACAAATGTGCAAATAAGTTATATTTTAAAAATATATATATACAGGCATCTCAGAGATATTGTGGGCTCAGTTCCAGACCACTGCAATAAAGCAAATACCACAATGAAGCAAGTTAAACAAAATTTTTTTTGCATATGAATATGTTTTACATATAACAGTGACATCTGCACTATATACTCTATGTGTATTAGTAGTCTATTATTAAGGATGAAACAGCATTATGTCTAAAAAATGTACATACCTTAATTTAAACATACTTTGATAAAAATGCTAATGATGCCCTGAGTCTTCAGCAAGTTGTAATCCTTTTGCTGGTGGAGGGTCTTGCCTCTGTGTTGATGGCTGCTGACCGATCAAGATGGCGGCTGCTGAAGGTTGGGTGGCTGTGGCAGTTAAAAAGGAAACAGTGAAGTGTGCCACATCGACTGACTCTGGACTCAGCTTTGGCATAAGGGAATGTTGTAGCTGGTTTGATCTTCTATCCAGACCACTAAAACTTTCTCCCTATCAACAATATGGCACAAGAGGCCTTGCCTTTATGTTGGCTTTTGACATAGCTTCCTCACTAAGCATCATCATTTCTAGCTTTTGATTTAAAGCAAGAGATGTGCTACTCTTCCTTTCACTTGAACACTTAGAGGCCATTGTAGGGTTATTAACTGGCCTACTTAATATTTTTGTGTCTTAGAGAATAGGGTGGCCAGTGAATAGAGCAGCCAGAACACACACATTTATGGGGTAGGTTGGCTGTCGTATACAGGCACAGCTCATGGTGCCCCGAAACAATTTAAATAGTAACATCAAGGATCACAGATCACCATAACAAAGTTGGAAGAGTAACACCAGTTAATTTTAAGATTTACTATAAAAGCTACAGTAATTAAGACAGTATGGTATTGCCGTAAGAATAAACCTACAGATCTATGGAACGAAATAGAGTTCAGAAAAAGACTCATGCATATCTGGTCAATTGATTATTGACAAAGGTGCCAAAGTAATTTAGTAGTAAATGGAGAATCTTTTCACCAAATAGTGCCACAATAATTGTATTATACATACATATATATATATATATGTATGTATTTACTATTCACTATTGATTCTATTTCCTATTACTATATACTCAAAAAGTAAATACATAATGTTCAAAAAGTATACATATACTCAGAAAGAATGATCCTTGACTTGTACCTTGAATCATAAACAAAATTCAGCTTAAATGGATCATAGACCTAAATGTAAAATCAACAACTATACAACTTCTAGAAGAAAATGAGAGAAAAATCTGCAACCTTAGCTTAGGCAAATATTGCTTATATAAGACACAAAAAGCTCAAATCATAAAATAAAAATATATAATTTTTTAAAAAATTAAAACTTCTGCTTATTGAACTTTTACAACTTAACAGTAAAAAGACTTATAACCCGATTTTTTAAAGGACAAAGAATTTGCATAGACATTTCTCCAAAGAAAACACACATATGGCTAAGAAGACATGAAAAGATGCTCACCAACCCTAGTCATTAGGGAAATGCAAATTAAAATCACAATGAGATACCATTTCACACTCACTGGGATAGCTAGCATCAAAGGAGAGACAATAGTGTTAGCAGTTTCTCAAAAAGTTAAATGTAGAATCACTGTATTCCCCAGCAACTCCAAGGTATATAACCAAGAAAAATGAAAACATATGTCTACACAAAACTTTGTACACAAATGTTCATAGCAACATTATCCATAATAGACAAAAAGTGAAAACCATTCAAATATCTACCAACTGATGAATGAATAAACAAAGTGTAGTATTAATATATCCATGCAATGGAATATTATTGAATCATAAAAAAGGAATCAGTTTCTGATACATGCTATGATGCAAGTGAACTTTGAATACATTATGCTTAGTGAAGCCAGAGATGAAAGCCACATAGTTTATGATTTCATTTACATGAGATGTTCAGAATAGGCAAATCTATGGAAACACAAAGAAGATTAGTGGTTGCTAGGATCTAGGGAGAGGGGAAGGAGGCAGTGACTGCTAATAGATACAGAACTTCTTTCTGGAGTGATGAAAATGTTCTGAAATGAGACAGTGGCAATATTGCACAACTTTGTATATATACTAAAAACCACTAAATTGTAAACTTTAAATGGGTGAACTTTACAGCATGTGAATTATATCTCAATTTTTTAAAAGCAGATTTAGAAAAACAACTTCTGATCTTTGAAAGACATTAAGAAAATAAAAAGCCAGAGAGTAGGAGAAAATATTTGCAAAATGTAGATCTAATAAGGGAAAGGTAACCAGAATATAAAAGAACTCTCAAAACTCAATAGTAAGAAACCAATCTAATTTTTTAAAGCGTAGAAAATTTGAACACTTCACTAAAAAATATGGAAAAATGACAAGCACATGAAAAAAATGCTCACTAAAGAGACCATTACACACATATTAGAATGTTCAGAATCGTGAGGGGGAAAACCAGCAATATCGAGTGCTCCCAAACATGTGGCTCAACTGGAATCTTCATACACTGCTGGCAGCGATGTAACATGGTATAACCAGTTTG